ATTCTTCACCATCTCCAGCAATTGGGTCTTCCTACATTACAAATACAGGGGGAGCCTACCTCTTGTAAAGGTTGTGCTCAGGGCAAACTTTCATCTGAAGCTTTTAAACCTTCTTGGAAATGTGCTACCAAACCTCCTGAATTAGTTCATGCTGATCTTCTGGTGTTACCTGTGGAATCCTATTTCTGCTCCACCTACATCCTTACTCTCTTGGATGATTATTCCTCTTTTGGCTTCTGTCTTTATCTCTGCAACAAATCTGACACTTACACTGCTTTTGCCAATTGGATGGTCTCTGCCCAGAAGCAGACCAGTTACCATCTTCTTGCACTCTGTTTGGATTGAGGGGGAGAATTTATGGGTTCTACTTTTAATGCACTCCTTTCTACACATGGTATTACTCATCAATTGTTGATCACCAATCATCCACAACAAAATGGTCATGCAGAATGCTTTAATTGAACCATTTCTGAGAAAGCTGCTACTATTCAGCATCATGCATGCATTCCAAAACACTTCTGGAACTTTGCTTTTGACTGTGCACTCCATGTGTACAATCGCACTCCATTAAAATGGATCTTATTCAAGACTCCAGTGGAACTATTCTTAGGAAAAGTTCCTGATATCACTTATTTCTGCACCTTTGGCTGCAAAGCCTTTGTATGGGTTCCCAAAGAACAACAAAAAGACAAATTGGAACCACACACTGTCGAAATGGTATTTTTGGGATATGAACCAAATACTAAAGGATATAGATTCATAAATGGTCAAAAGATCATTCTTTCTTGTACAGCAAAATTTGTAGAAGACTCCTTTCCTTTTTTCTCAGATTCTAAAAAGACTGATACCTTTGACCCCAGTTCTGAAAGCGACTCATCATCTGAATCATCTGATTCATCTGACTCTGAAAGCCTTCATTCATTACCAGATCCTGATCAGATCCAATTGCTGCCTCATCACTGGCAACCACCTTGTCCATCCACATCATCTAACCCACAGCAGGGAAAAGCTGTGGACCAGCCTAGAGCTTCTGGTTCTAATCAACCAATCAGAAGAGCACCTGCTGCTGCACCATCAGTCGACCCTCGAGTTCTTTGTCATCCTCATACTCCTTATTCTATTCCTGGTGACTCCTGAAATGTTTGGAGAGCTCAGCCACAACAATCCAAAGACCGAGAACCATGTCCAAAATATTGTTTTATCCCTGTTTCCCATCCTGGAAACATTTATGGAGATAGACCTCCTGTTCAAATAGAAAAGGATATCCAACAAAACCACAATCAGGCTCAACAATGGATTTGAAATGCTGAGCATAATATTAGGGAATGAGAAGAAGCTAGAAGACAATATGATGAGGAGCACAGACCACCTTCACTGGTCTTGCCACCAACTTTGGTATCTCCTCAGGTTCCTAGACAGTGGACTGAACATCCACAAGGAACTACTCCTACTTCTCCTTTATCTCCCTTAACTCCACTTCCTGAATCTCCAAAAGGAATGCCAGATCAAGAAGCTGGATGCACCCTTTTGAATTTGCACTCACTGCTCACATTAAAGAATCACCAGAACATTATAAAGATGTTCTAAAATTATCTCCTGATTTGCAAAAGAAATGGTTTGATGCCATGAAGGATGAATTAAAATCAATTGAAGAAAGACAAGTATGGACATTGGTGGATCCTCCCAGGGATTGGAAACCAGTCAAGTGTCAATGGGTTTTTGCTATCAAAAGCAATGGTTGCTACAAAGCTCATCTTGTGGCAAAAGGCTTTACACAAGAATTTGGTACCGACTTTGAAGATACCTTCTCTCCAGTGGCTCAATTTGAAACTGTATGAATCTTACTAGCTTTTGCTGCCCAAAGAAATTGGGAAATGGAAGCCCTGGATGTCAAAACTGCCTTTCTTTATGGCAACCTTGATGAAGAAATATATATGGAGCAACCAGAAGGTTTCAAAGTTTCGGGTCAAGAGCACAAGGTCTATCAGCTGCTTTGAGCCCTCTATGGCTTGAAACAAGCAGCACTTGCATGGAATAAAGCCTTACATGCATCTCTACTTTGCATGGGCTATATTTGCTCAAAAGTGGATGCTGGAATTTATATCTATTCTTCCAAAGCTGGTATTGTCATTTTCCTTGTCTATGTCAATGATGATTTATTTTTAGGATTGGACAAACATCTTCTGAAAGCCAAGAAAGAAGAATTCATGAAGAAATGGGAATCCTGTGATCTTGGGGAAGTTAAAGAATATCTCAGAATTCAAATTCACTGAGATCAATCAAAGAAAGCGCTCTATCTTGATCAAATTCCCTATGTGAAAAAGGTCATTAAACATTTTGGGATGGAGACTGCTCAAAATGTTCACACTCCACTTCCCTCAGGATTTCAACCAGAAAAAGCCCCTTCTTCATATCAAGCAACTTCCCAACTTTGCTCCCAGTACCAGTCAATTATAGGGTCTTTACTCTATATGGCACTCAGAACTTGTCCAGATATTGCCTTTGCAGTAATCCACATGTCTCAATATATGGCAAATCCCACTGAGGATCACCAAAATAAAGCCTTGCACATAGTTCACTATGTTGCATCCACTCCAAAAATAGTGCTTTATTATTCTGGACTTGAGTCATGAATTTTTGGATTTGCAGATTCCAATTGGGCTTCAAATAAAGACACATGTCATTCCACAACCAGTTTTGCCATGTTCCTTGGCACTTCCCTCATTTCTTGGCAATCACGAAAACAGAAGACTGTTGCACTCTCCTCTACAGAAGCTGAATATATGGCTCTCTGTGATGCTGCTCGTCAAATCAAATGGCTTCATATGCTATTTGATGAACTTCATCTCAAAACAGACAAGACCATATTATATTGTGACAATATGGGTGCTCCCTTTATTGCTGAGAATCCAGTCTCAGATGGACACTCCAAACACATTGACATCCAATGGCATTATGTGTGTGAATGCATACAAGATGGTTTGTTTCATATTGAATACATTCAAACTGACAAACAAAAAGCCAATGGTCTTACAAAGTCTTTGACTTGGCAAAAATTTGAAAGTAATTGCTCATTGATTAGTTTGGTTAACCTACCATTCTAGAGCAAGGGGGAGTGTTGGAAATATCATAATATATCTGATGTCTAGATTCATCTAGACATACATGTTTTGATACATGTGTTATATCACATGACTTGCCTTAGCAATCAGCTCCACAGTGACATCATAATGACATCACTCATTGTGTCATATTCCATAGCATTCCCTGCTATTCCTTACTATACATAGTAACAGTTTCCATATACATTACTGGTCTGTGTGTATGGAAACATGTATATAAACTCAGGGATTTTGACCCTGGTTACTTATCAAATTCTATATTCATTCTACTGTTCTACCAAGAACAAGAGCCTCTAAAAACTCTACCCAAAACCTACTTGCTAACTCAAGTTATAAGGCAAGTGCTCTTGTCTTTGCTCTTCATACTGTAGCCTGTCCTCTGTGCAATATGAAGGAGCTGAGGAAAGGCAGAGCCCTCCCAATTCTTCGTGTCTCTTCATGAGCAACAAAGTATGGCCTGGAGCAGACAATAATCAGTGTATCTGGAAATGATTCTTGCCCTCATCTGCATGGTCTGTGCCATTATTTTTATCTGGGACGATGCTCATCATTGAGCCTTCTGCATTGGCAAGCAGTTTGTCACTTCCTGCCATGTCAACCTTGGCCCCAGCTGCATCCTCCCCTGTAGGCAATGTTGTCGGAGCTTCACCTGCCTCCACAGCCATGTCTCATGGACACAAATGACAGAGTATGCTTGAATCATGGTTTCCTCTGTGTAGTTTCATCAATCTAAAGGCCAATTTGGAAGAGTGCATGTCTTCATGGAAGTGGAGAAGTTTTATCAAGATTGCCATTGCCTGACTAAATTCCCCTCGCGATGTGGTATGATCTTCCCCCCTGCAATGTTTCTTACTGTTCATATTCTATCTAGCTATCCTACTCACTTTGCTTACACCGGATACATGGGATGTATCCAAATCCCCCCCATCCATACTGTTGACTTTTGATTTCCTTAGACACTTCTAATTGTGGTTTCTTATGCATTGCTCTTGCCAAACATCTAGTTTTAGGCTCCAATATGTCCAGTTCTATCTTTCCTTACAATACACTCAATCATGACCACAGACACCTGAGCAGTATAGATCAGGGAATGTAACAGTAGTGTCGACTTGACACAAACCATTTTCTGAATCAGAATGTGTACTCCTTGTGTCAGAAGAGGCTGCCACCAACAGAACACATTTGTACTTGGTTACTTACTGATAGGGGCATTGATATCGACCAGCAACAGGCCGCATTAAACTTCATGCCCTCTCCACATGTCCAACTTCATTTCGAACCATATGCTTGCTGCTCCTGCGACATTCCAATAACTGCGACTTCTCATTACTCATAACTCTTGGATGGTTCAAGGCATTGTGTTGTATTCAGCAGCTGCCTTCTCTGAGCGACGATGCAGCTGTTCCACAAGATCTGGCTCCCATTGGGGTTGTTCAGCCTCCAGCCAGTACAGACATCCATGTCCCTGTGCCGAGTGAGGTTCCTGTCGAAGTCTCTGACTCTCCCTCACCCAATATTGGGGATGTTCATGCTGACATGGCGGCTGAAAACACTCACTCATGTTCTCTGAGCCCTAGCCCTAGCAGGATGGACATTCCCATTCCTGCCACTACTCAAGGTTGCTTCACGTGTTCTTTATGTGGTGCTTTAGTGTACTTAGTTACTTGGCCAGATTCTCTGTCAATCAGTACACGTGCTCTTGCTCCTGCACCAATCAAGGCACAACCCACAGTTCCATATTTTCCAGAAGAGAGTGCAGATACTCCTGTTCCTGCATGCACTGAAGAAGTAGCTGGGGGTAAGTGTTGTACTTGCTGCTCACTGGTCATGGGACAAGTCTAAGAACCTTGATCATCAGTGTCAACCACTATATCCCCTATGATTAGCTTAGATCCTGCGAAAGCTAGAGAGCACATCGATCACATTGATCGCTTTCGCATTCTGGTCATGGGCAGAGCCAATGCAGGTAAAACGAAAATCCTGCAGAGGGTCTGTAATACTACGGATCAACCAGAAATTTTTAATGGAGAAGGAGAGAAGGAGAGTATATTTCATGGTGTTTGTTCGAGATTAACAACATGTTGGGCTATATTCAGGTGGATGCTGCTGTGGTGCAGGGTTCACTAATGGTGAGGTGACTTGTGAATCAGTGCATGTTGAATGGTTGAATGTTTCCAGCATGGCGAGCACAAGATCGAGGATGAGCTGGTGTTTAAGAGTAATCCACACTTTGTATTCCATGACTCACATGGATTTGAGGCCAGAAGTGAAGAGCAGTTTGGCATGCTGAAGGAATTCATCATGGATCATGCGAAGACAACCAAGCTTGACAAGAGAATCCATGCCATATGGTAGGGACACTATGTTGGACACCCTAACTGAAATGACATGGTGTCTGTGATGAATTTAGGTTTTGCATTCCTTTGAATGAAAGCCACAGGATGGTCACAGCAGCAGAAAGGAAGTTCTTTGATGAGTGCAATACAGGGAATGGTGTGTAAATTATCCTATACTCTGTTTCATGTGTTTAAATTTCAGTGTTGTTGTCCCAGTTCCTGTAATTGTATTGCTGATAAAAACAGATACCTTGGTGTTGGATGCTCTCCTGGAGGTCATGGGTGATGATTCAGATGAAAATGATGCAATGGAATTGGCTGCAGATGTTGAAAAAAGGAAGCTGAATGAGTGTCTTGTGAAGGTCAATAGTTGGTTGAAAGAGTTAAGGTATCCACCTGATGACTATCTGTCACTCACTGGTCAGTATCCTCACCATCACCCAGCAATGGCACACACTTGATAGAAAATGACTGCAGGAATGCAAGAAGAGGGTGCAGATTGTGCAACCATACTGACATGCACAGCAAATGCATTGAGTGAAGGACTGCAGCAGCTCCTCATATCAACACAGCAATTGAACCTAGGACTGTGTATAGAGTTTGCAATAACATCAGGAAAATAACACTTTACTATTTTTGACTTTTTGTGACTAATGTGACTTTTTGGGAAGGAATCTACTATCATTACCCATGTCCTGCAGGCGTGGCTGCACTTTTCTTGCTGATTTTGGTCTTGTTCAAACCACCTAATTCATAGCTTTCAGTAGATACCACATACATTCAAATTGATGGAGGTTCCAAAGAGATATTGTGATTTTTCTCTCAGACAGTGTGCATCACACCAATGGCTCAATATCTCTGAATTTTCAGACATTTTCTAGTCTTCTTGGCTTAGATACATCATCACTTAGTTGTCTCAATAGATTCTGTTCTCTTTTCATTCTTCAAAATGCTGTATATGGTCAAAAAAAAAGTACAGATAGTAGGTTCCTTCCCAAAAAGTCACAAATAGTCACAATAGTCACAAAAAAGTCAAAAAAAGTCACAAAAAGGTCAAAAATAGTAAAGTGTTAATTTCCTGATGAACAAAGTAAGTGATATAGCTGAATGATAAGAATGTACTAATATGTGCCAGGACACTGAAGATGTGCATGAAGGACTGGGTGGGCAAGATCACACCAGCAGGACTGGCATTTTACCTCTCAAGATGGTTTCCATATGTAAGAAGATAGAGAGTGGAATGCAGGAGATGCTGATTTTTCAACAGAATGTGTGTGAATTTGTAAAAAGAAATGGACATAATGAATACTAATGTGACTGTGGCATTGGGTGGATAGCATGTGAGGGGATCAAGTGCTGGAGGTGCCAGAAGCATTCTGACTATGTTCACTGCCACCCATTTGGATGTGCATTCATAGAGAGTGAGAGGAATGATGGCAGGTGGTGGAAGTATTCTGACCATGTTCACTCCCACCCTTTTGGACTTGCATTCATAGTTGGTGAGTGGAGCCATGGGAGGTGGTGGAAGCATTCTGGCCATGTTCACTCCCATGCTTTTGGACTTTCATTCATAGGAGGTGAGTGTAGCCATGGCAGGTGGTGGAAGCAATCTGACCATCTTCACCCCACCCTTTTGGACTTGCATGCATAGGAGGTGAGTGGAGCCATGGCGGGTGGTGGAAGCATTCTGAACATGTTCACTCCCACCTTCTGACTATGGTCCCTGATTTTTGAAAATCTTGTCCATATTACATATATAGATGGTGAGGTCAATTGATGTATCCATTCCACATTTATATTTTACATTATCCCGGGATGTAAGTCAACATTTGTGTGGAGTTTCAATTTGACCCTCATATCTCCAATTTCATCCAACAGCATGTTAGTCATCATTCTTCAGAATTTTTTCCTATGCTAATACATGGTGTAGAATGTGTGTATTCATTTTGCCCTCAATTCATATGATGATTATTGATAAAGTTTGCAGTTGGTTTGTGGCCCTGTTTCCCATTGATGTTGCCTGACATGGTCCCATCACACTTTGCTAAGGTGGTCTGTTTTATTTTCTTTCTTTCTGCGATAAACAGCTCACCTGACTTGACAACATTATAGCCCACCATGACTCATTACTCCTCTTCTGTCCAAATGCCCACTTTGGCCACCTCACAACAACCTTCAATGCAATCTATTGCAGCATATGGCATTGGTGATTTATCTCTTGTCATGATTTGACACCCATAACCCCCAATTGCAGGTGCTATCCTTGTGTTTGAATACTTGTACTTCTTGTTGCAGGCCAACAACATGAATGGTGATTTGTAGGCAACCCTTGAACTGGCTGTCAGAACATATCAAACATCAGGTGTCCAAGATACTGTTGCCAAACTTATCAAAGCAGCATTTCAGCATCATGGTAAAGATGTGGAAGTTTTATCCCCAATCCTTGTGGGTATTGCACAGGAAAATCAGATGTGTCAGATACCATTTCTTCAATAACAATCATCCTCTGTCTTACCTGTATTTTTGTTAGCAAAGGTCAAATAGGAGGGCTTATTTTTCAAGTTGTTACTGAGCCTGCTGTGAGTCCCTCCACTTCTCATTCATGTGACATGTATATGAAAAATGAAGATATTATTTTCAGGCCACCAATGGTGATCATTTGGAATCCTTCATTGTGGGGGGGAGCTTGTAAACCCTGGCATTGGCTTCTCCCTTATTATTGGATGTGCCACCAATCTTCATGTTGCCAATCCCCACATTTCCACACCAGGAAATATTGGGAAGATACAATGGTCCTGTATAAAATGAATCAAATATATGTCCTTTGCCATGCCACTCAGCTATCCACAGCCAAACTTTACCTAAGTTCTATGCCATTCTATTTTGTCTTTATGACTCATGTCCAAGTGCAACTCAACCCCTGTGCAAGTTACCCAGCAGCCATAATGAACATTTCCTACCTAACCATCCCTTTTCTGACCCAACCATTTTCTCTCTATTATGACAACTGCCCTCTCACTTAACACCCCACTTCCTAGTAAATTGGCAAACCACACAGCAATGCATGCATATAATAATCTAAATAAGCAGTTCCTGCCAGATGTTGGTCCTGCTTGTGTGTCAAGTCTGGTTTTTCTTCATTGGCAGGTCCTGTTGCAAGGCCAGCTGGGAGGGGGGAGATGTGGGCAGGGGTTATAGGTATGGACTGCCTGTATTTAGCAACTGTGAATACAGCACAATTCTCTTTGGCCTTGGGCTTGAGGCTGGGCTGAGCAAAATGCTAGAAACAAGACATAGAATATGACAAGGACTAGGCCAATTGATCAATTTGTTGGGGACTGGGTGAGTTTCCTCACAAACTGTAACTTCTAGTTTTAGACCTGTGCTGTCAAGTTCATGGTTGTCTGGGTTGAGGCTGGACTGGAGACTGAAGTGGGCACAAGGCTAAGGGGCCAGAGTCAGGAGGGAAGACAAAGGTACAGAGGGGTGGACTGGTTGGACTTAGTGACTGAGGCTACAGTGCTATTCCCTTGTGTGGGTCTCAGTCCAAGTCCAAGGCTGAGGTGAGATTACCAGAGTAACTTAGTTGATTTCAGACTGAGGGGTACAGGCTGAGTATCTATGAGCTTATATACTAGAGACAACTATAGTACAGAGACCAGTAATGCTGGTCTCACAAAGATTGCTAAGATGATTGGTAAGACAAATATTAGTAATGTATGACAAAGACAATGGAGACTGGGACAGGGCAGAACTTAACCGAAGTGACACACACTGCAAAGCAGTGTTCACTGCACTAGACTAACTGGAGGTATGAGGTTGGCGAGGCCAAGGCCAAACTGAATGAACATGAGGCTGAGTCTGGCCAGGGTCAAGGCACAGCTATGACATGTGCTCACCATAGCTGGACCACAAACTCAAACATGACAAGCAACTATCATAGGAAATGGAATCCAAGTCCAACAACAATTTGGTGTCATTTGATACATGAATACAAAATCTGTACAGTTTACAAGCATCAATCTTCATGGAAGCTGTGGTTCATCCAACTTATTAACCAGCCCATTGATGTGATCCAGTGGCTGTCCCAAGGTATATGAAAATCTTGGCAGTATGACAAGAAATCTCCTGTGGGAATATAACAACAGGACAGGTTAGGGTATACTAATTCAATAGCTTAGTAGCTGGTGATTATGACCCCAGGTGAAGAAGGAATGGCCATCTTCCTTCAATGCACAGGTTTTCTTAGCAGTAAAATAACTACCTGTGTCTCAGCACCAAATGAGAGCACAACACAGAAGGCAGCTTACCTGTAACATCTGGTCCATGCTTTAACTTGGAATCACTTCTTCAAACTATTGGGTTCTCCAAGGGTGAAGCTACAGTGGGATTATGGATTGGTCGCAAAGCTTAGAGCAAGAGATGAGCACCCACATGCACAAAAACAAGAACTCAAAACAGTGGGATTAGGATGCAACCTGTGCTTCCCAACTGGTGCAAAGCTGATGTCAGTGAAGCAGAGATAGGATCGCAAGAATAATGCCATGTATAGACCTCTCCCTGTTCAGTCAGTTAGGTGTAGAGGGATCACAAAAGATCACTGCTCCCATCTTATATGACAGACCACATAGAGGTGATGACACTTCTGGCACTCATACCTGACTCTCCTACATCACACAGGATGAAGACCAGGAAATATTTGTCCACATAGTGCATCAGGTAGTTGTCCGAAGCATAACCAGTACAGTGATGATGCATTGATAATGATCTTGTCATAGATGCACATCTTGAAAAGTAGCATGTGGGGAGACTGAGATTGATGTCATGGTTTGTTGTGAAGTATGGGTTTACCTTTGGGTGACTGGGCTTCAAGACTGGGTGACAGGGGCTAAGTCTGGCTGACTGGAGTCAAGGCTGGGAGACAGGGGCCAAGTCTGGTTGGACTGGAGTCAATGCCAGAGGTCAGGGGCTAAGTCCAGAGGACTGGCTTAAGGCCAGGAGCATGGGAAACTGACCAGTCTTGGAGTGTGCACAGGGGGAAGCTGGTCCAGGGTTGGTCTACCTCCCTTGGTCTCAGCTTATGTGCTGTACCTTATGCAAGCTGGGGAGAGGTCCAGGACAGGGGCCAGGGATAGCTTAAGGCTTGGCCTTAGCTATTGAGTAGACTCAGAGTGTAGTACAGAGTTGAGGGTATACTAAGTTGATATTCTGACTGAGGTGCTACAAAGTATGTACAGGGGTTATATACATGAGGCTGGTCCAGGGTAATGAACATAGAGCCAGACTTGTTAATAAGCTATTAGCAAGATGATTAGCAAGAGTGTGGACAGCCACAGAGGCTGTGCTGAGGCTGATAGTCAAAGTCTGGGTGACTGGCATGACCAGAGTCAGACACAGGTTTTGTACAGTAAGCAGAGTTGGACAAGAAGACCAAGCTAAATATAGTACAAACAATGGAAAA